TTTTATAAATCTGCTCGGTTTATTTTAGGTTTTAGTAATGGATTTCGAAAGTAAAGGTGGTCCATCAAAAAGAATCAGATATGGCGATGCAAACTATGAAGAAACTTTGCTGAAATGGGCGGATGAGGTCGATGAAAACGAGAGCGATGCTGATTCAGATTCCGAATTTATTTATAGCGGTCATGAAAGCGATTCGGAGCAAGAAATGGAGGATAATTGTGAAAGACTTTCTAGTGAAGATGAAGGCGTAATAGAAAAAGGTGAGCCATCGCATGAAGTTTCTGTGGAAAACTATTTTTACGGAAAAAAACCGTTTCAAATGGTCCAAGATATCCCCGTATTCTAAAAATACACGCACTTTGCAACATAATATTGTAATTAAGTGTCCGGGTATAAAAATTACAAAAATTCATAAAGCTGATCCAGAAGAAATTTGGAATGTGTTTTTTGATAACCGCATTATTCACATTATTCTTGAATACTCAAATTTACGCCTGGCAAAATTGAGGGAGAAATATCAAAACAAAAATTCAAGTGATATTCGGGATTTAGATATTGTTGAGCTGAAGGCTTTTATTGGAATGCTTTTGCTTACAGCTATCTTCAAATCTAATCACGAAGATATTCGTTCAATTTTTGCTACTGATGGATCGGGCAGAGATATATTTAGATGTGTGATGAACTCGAATCGTTTTGCTGTCATACTCTCATGCTTACGATTCGATGACCCAAAACTAGACTCGCACGAAAAAAGGATGATCCTTTAGCTCCAATATCCGAGATATTCAACGCTTTCGTTAAGAATTCCCAAAGCGCTTACACTCTAGGTACAAACACATGTATTGATGAAATGTTAATTTCATTCCGAGGACGGTCAAGGTTTAAGATGTACATGCCAGCAAAGCCTTGTAAATATGGGTTGAAAATGATGGCGTTGACAGATGCTAGAACTGGATATTTATATAATGCATATATATATATTGTGGTAAAGATTCAGATGGGTTCGATTTGCCAGAAAATGAAAAAAAATATTCTAAGCCTACGCAAGCCGTTCTCAAACTTGCTAAGCCAATTTTCGGCACGCACAGGAACATAACCGCTGATAATTGGTTTAGTTCCATAGAGTTAGTGAATTTATTAAAATCAAAAGGTCTAACATATGTTGGAACATTGAAAAAAAATAAGCGTGAAATTCCAGTTAGCTTTTTACCAAAAAAAGAAAGATCTGCAGGTTCTAATTTGTACGGTTTTACCAGTGACATTACCCTACTTTCTCACGTTCCAAAGAAGCACAAGGCCGTTTTGTTAGTCTCATCAATGCACCATGATGAAGGAAACATAGGAGAATCGGGCAAACCGGAAATAATCGACTTCTACAATCTAACAAAAGGGGAGTGGATAGCTTGGATGAAAAGTGTAGTGTCTATTCAACGGGTCGAAGAACGAGGCGTTGGCCAATGGCAATTTTTTATAGAATGCTGGATATTTCGACTGTTAATTCTTTTTTGGTTCATCAGTCGTGCCGAGACAATGTGGAGCTGAAACGTTTCGAATTCAATAAACAACTTGCAATGCAGCTAGTAGAACCAGAAATGAGACGTCGTTTTCAAAATATGCACATCAGTCGGGAAGTCAGAATGTGTATTGGTCGTGTTTTAAAAATAGAAATAGAATGCTCTAGTGCTAACCAGGAAGAAAAATTTGAAGTCAGAAAATACTGCAAGCGTTGCCCAGCTAAAAGAAGACGAAAAACAGCACATTTTTGCATAATTTGTAAAATTCCAATATGTATGGATTGTACCAAAAGGGTTTGTGTGGAGTGTGCACAATGAAAATATACGTTGGGAAAACTTACTGCACGTTTCCATAATATTATTTTTATGTTAATTTCTAATTAATGTAATTGTTATGTTGTATGTTTTTAACAAATTTTGAATAAAAACTGCTTAGCAAGTTTTTTTTTTTAGTTAAAAATATTGCGAAAAATAATGTATCAAAATTTTTCAAAAAATGTATGCATTACATTTATTTCTCTACAACTTGATTGCGTTTCATTAAAATACATCCATAATTATATTAAACAGTAATACTTATACCCTACTTAAGCAATATAAGGTAGAGGTAAGCTTAGTTTTCCCCATAAATTTTTTTCAGTTATTTAAATATAGGAGTCATTTTGACTCAACGTCTGTGGTAATGTTCAGTTAGTTGGACGTCTGTGGTTACGGGTTAATATTAGTAAACGTCGTTTCGTAGGGGTTGACAGTAATGTTTCTACACGTTCCATTCGACAGGATAGGAGATCCTTTACCTTTCGTTTTGGAATAGTATTCATTTGACAGTTAGCTCTATATTGCATACAAGAATTTACCACCGTAAGATGCAAAAAGTGGATTATTACTTGTAAGGTCCATTTTCTTATTTTTATTAAACTTCTGTAGTATTCAACTTGCTGATCTACGATATAAACAGCTCTCATATTCTCATTGTAAGATTTAATAACATCAGGAAACGTTATTTCTATATATGTTTTTTACACAACCTTTTTACTATACTTTGAGGATCAACTCCAGCTGCATTCGACAATAAAACTACAGACTTGAGTCCTTGCACTTACCTGCCACTATATTTTGTTCTTTGCAGCTTTACGGCAAAATTGTTCACTTTCTTTATCTTGCATAAAGTTAACTTTGATTAGATTGTTCATTACGGTTCCAGCTCCATATATATTTAATTCACAAAGCTTATTTATTAAGCGAGGTATAGTAAAATATCTGTGAAACTGCAAAAACGATCCTTCTGGCAATGATGTTGTTAATCTCAAGACTACAGAAGGTCCACAGTCCATATTCTGCATTTAAAAGAGGAGTTTGTTTTCCTTGGTATATCACAAAATCGGGGAATTTGATTCTTCTCACTTTGACAGACACACATTTCGTATCGCATCCATGACAGGTTGTACTTTCCATAGGCTGTTATTTTGGTGATTCTCAGGGGAATAATTTGTCAACAAAGTAAAGGCAGGTTCTCAGTTGCATAACCCTATTCCTACTTCAAGGTAAATTGCATGGGAAAAGAGGTCCAGGTCAGAGAAGAATATCTTGGCTGCATAACCTGCGAAAATGGTTTAACTTAACCACTATCGGACTTTTCAGGGCAGCAGTCAACAAAGTCAGACTAGATGTTAGTGTCCAACATTCGTAACATATAGGCACCATAAGAAAAAGAATCCCTGGATAAAGCATCAGATACACTTGATATTTTTAACCCAGCTTTCCAATACCAGGATAAACGAGGATATCGAGTACAACCAAAGAGCAAACGGGTTCTGAACAAATTTTTGATTTCAGCTGCTCTCGTATATATTGCTTTTCCTTTTTTGACCATGAATACATATTAGAATATATGGGTGTTTGGTCAAAAATGTCGTTTGGAAAATATTTAAAAAAATATTTTTTAGAAAAGTTTTAATATTTCCGTGTTGGGTTGCAAAGAAATTTTCTTTGTAAATATATTATATATTTCAGATGAGAGCCATATATAAAAACAAATTCATGGGATGTATCAGCTTCCAAAACACATCTGTATAAAAATTAATTACAATGTTGCCAGTAGTTTTGGCAAAATCGTAAAAAATATGTAACAGTTTTTTCTTCAACGCCCTGATTCTCCAACGCCAAAGCAAACCCCAATTATTTTTCAGTTTTTCACCTATCCTAGAGACAGTGTTACCTTTTGTTTGAAACACCTTGTATAGTATGTTTATTTTTTAATAGAACAATGGCTCCATAAAAATTAAATCAGAATTGAATGAAAAAATATACAAAAAACAATATTTTGAAACATCCATATACCCAAAGTGTCCGTGCGAAATTAAAACTATCTTATCCTGTAACGATCTTCACGTCTTGTCTGATATCCCGTGGGAAGTATTACCCGCCTGAAGCCCACTTTCGTTTTTTAGGTCAATGTAATAACTACTAATGTCCTGAAGGATGCTCGTTGTGGAAACAGGCGTATATGGGGACACTTGTTTATTCCTGATGGATTTCACCAACTGGTTTCGGGTTTCGGAACTCCCAATTTCCTCGTTTCTTTCTTTGTATTTTCCCATTTTTCTTAAATTACATTAGAAAAAAGGTATGTCATGTGTTTGCTATGTTCCCTTTACGAGTAAATTATTACTGTTCTGTTATAGGAAAATATAATTTAGAATTCTATTATTTACTTTTCATTATTTTTTAATAATATAGCTAGAGTAAAACTTCTGTTAACGGACACCTCCCTACAACGGAAGCCTCTGCTAAATGGACAGTATTTAGGTCACCGAACATTTTGATAGTATGTGGCAACATTTCGGAAAATTTTGCCGCAAATATTTCGACGACTATCCTAGTCGTATTTTTGAAATTTTTTATAATTTTTAAGCTAAAGTGTAAATACATAAACACTTCTAGTAATTGTCAAGTATAATAAATAGTTTAAGATTTAAAATAATTTAATTTCCATTTTGAATTAATCAATAGGTTAAAAGATATAACAATTATACTCTGAATGGTAAAAGTTACTTACTTTTAATGTATTTTTACTCGAACTGAGAGTTTCAGTAAAGTTACAGCAGCTCTTCAGAATGTACGTAGACAGATCTAACATCTTTGCCAAATATAATATTTAAAAGAAAATGCTTCTTCACCGACTTACCCCTGCGGTAACAAACCTGGTCTCCGGTACCAAAGAAATTGAGACAAACGGAGACAAAAAATAAGAAAAAGAGTAGGATTACCTATAAGTAGATAACTCGATGAGGTTGAGAAGAACCTAAAAGAAAAAAACATACGCATAAAAAAAAAGAATGGAAGAGAATTATCAGCTATGGGCCTAAGGGGCATACATTAGCATTATAACAGTTATAAATTTTTAGCTTACTATATATATTCAAGCAAACAGTAACTATAAACATTTTTCATTTAAAGTGATCTCCTTTTTTAGTTTTAGGTAAGATGATGGATCCTGATCCACTAGAAGAAGGTCCTCAATCATCGAGTAGTATAGTTTTCGAAGCCTCTACACAAACACCAACAAACGAGCTATGCGACTCGCCTCTATTTACCCAGAAAGGATACTGCCTCAAAACTACTGGACATAGTGTTCAAGCACTAACGAATATACATAGAATGAGACAACATGGGCAAGTAAGTATTTTTGTATGAAACTAGTTACTATTAGATATTTTAGCTGTAGATATGTTTGTTGTAATAGATACATTAGCCATTTAGTGCTATTTTATCTAAAAATTCAACGTTTCTTAATCAAAACGAATGTTTAAGTTATCAAATAATTTAAAAGGAAAATTCCCAGTGGTTGGCTGTATTTGTGTAATTAGTATCATTTAAGCCTGTAGGCTTAATTTTGCCGAGTGATTGCCGGTATAAGCAATCTCCCACTTACTGACCAACGGCTTCGGACGGATGAGTTAGTAAGTGGTAGGGCACTTTTTTGTCTTGGGGTTGAGAAATTGGCTTCAAAGGCGGATAAACCTATTCGTGGTCAACGGCATAAGGATGTAGAAGGCAACGCACAACCCCTACATTAAAGATCATAGAGACCAAAGCCTTTTTAACCCTTAACTACTGATGTGGATGTTTCAGGACGTAGACTCTGACATGCGGTATGTCATACCGTTGTCTATTCTCCTTTGTTTTTAATATGAATTTATCTTATATCACTGTATTTGTTTTTTATATCAACTACGGAATGATTCTTAACATTGCTGTAGCATAATATACTGCTACAAGTAAAATAAACTTTACTTTTTCAAGAATATTAAGAATGCGTGCATAATATTTAAAAAAACGGTGGACGTTACTACAAAATCGTTTATAAACTAAATTACAAGAAAAATTGATTACTTTTGACCAACAAATGGTAAAATAATGTTAAAAGAAACAGACTAATGATTTAAATTTAATGAGAAACTAAAATACAAAATTTTGACAATAACCAAAAATTACAATAAAATAACTAGTCATTTTGCGCGCAAGGTCCGCAATTTTTCTTTGTACACTGTAAGCACACTGGTTTTCCACAAGAAAAGCACACATAAAAAGTCTTTCGCTTTAATGCACTTGGGCATAAGTATAAATCTTTTTCTCAAGCCTTTCTTCAAAATCTGCTTCTTTTTGGCGTTTTTGTCCTAGTATTCGTTCAATACCACATAATAATTCTCTCGGGATTCTGGGATTTTCGAGTCTTCTTTGTAGATGAGGTAAAACTAATTGTTTCGCCAACTCCTTTGTGTAGTTTAGCCTTTCCATATTATCTTCTTGTAGTAATTGATATACAACATGCGAATTAACAGCAGCTATATCAATGATGCGGTAAAAAATAGTAAGTGGCCATCGGCGAGAACGACGTTTTACAGAATATTTGGCACACTTGGCATCTAAAGTATCGACACCTCCTTTCGTACGATTATAATGAGCTATAATTTCTGGTTTTCCAGTAATCTGATCCGTGCCTATTGAATGGTGCATCGAAGAAATAAATAAAACAGCCCTCGATTTTTTTGGCACATGGGAAATTAGGGATAAACTTTTCGTAAATCCGTAAGTAGTTGAATTTACTTGCCTGCATCGGTGTGGCTGGAATTCCGGAGGGATTTCCCGTTTATTTTTCTTGAGGGTTCCCACATACGTTAACTTCTTTACTTCTAACTGCTTTACTAATTCTATAGAACTAAACCAATTATCAGCTGTGATATTACGGTTAGTTCCATAAATAGGTTTAGCAAGCCGAAGAACAGATTGAGTTGGTTTATTCATCTTCTTTTCTTCCTCAGATAACCCAGTTCCGTCAGTGTCCTTGCCTCCATATATATATAGGCATTGTATAAGTAACTTGTTCGTGCATCAGTCAGGCACATTATTTTAATGCCATATTTCACAGGCTTATTAGGCATATACATTTTAAGTCGAAAGAAAATGCAAAAAAGTATTTTTTGAAGTGTGTATATTTTAGGCAATTCCTAGCTGAGCGCTTTCGGCTTTACAAAGCCATCATCAGAGCTATGGTCAATTTTTTAAATACCAGCGCTCAGCTAGGAATTGCCTAAAATATACACACTTCAAAAATACCTTTTTGCATTTTCTTTCGACTTGTCATAAGTGTGTACAAAAAAATATCAGTCTTTTGATATACATTTTAAACCTACACCTTCCCCTAAAGCCGACTAACATTTCATCAATACAAACATCATGTGCCTACGGAATACAGTTTTTGACAATTTGATATGAATAAATAAATATGTTACTATATCTTCGTTTATATCTTCGTCATTGGATTTGAAAGCTGATGAGTATAAAAGCAATCCCAAAAAGGCTTTTAGTTCTATTTCATCAATTTCATTTAGTTCTGGCCTATTCATTCTTTTATAGTTTTCACGAATTGCACGTAATTTATTATGTGTTCTTTCTTACATCTCTGGACCGCACAGCTGGTACTTTTGTTACAAGGTTGTGTAGCGGAGTTCTTACATTTTTCGAGGGTGCTGTAGTAGACCACTTAAAACGATTTTTGCCATAAAAATATGACTTACCATTATCATTTAAATGATATTCGTCTTCAGAACTTTCCGACTGCTCACTTCCGCTATCGTGTGAACTTTCAATACATACTTCTTCGCTTGCATCGTCAACATCACTATCACTAAAATATTCTAAATCACTAGGTACTTCGTCAGCCCATTGAGATAAAACAGCCTCAAAATTATCATCTGAAAGCTTTACAGTTTTGCAGCTAAGTTTAGAACAACTGGACGAACTTGCTACCATACTAACAGCAAAAGAATACACTACATTGCTTTTAACTATAGAAACGTAAATACTGACATGCGGTACTTGAAACCGCAAGAAAACTTTATGTCAACGTAGCTCAAAGACTAAACATGTACTAAAACTGCAGCAGTTGAGAGCAGGTACACTTAAACCCCATTTGAAGGTAAACAGATGGTGTTCTAAGAATCTTTTATAAAACACGATTTACAACAAAATATATTTTCGGCTTGGTATGGCATACCGCATGTCAGTGGTTAAGGGTTAAATTTCGGGACAAGGAATGTGAGGAGTTTGGTCGAACAAGGAAAGACGCACAACACGATTCAGAAAATGAATAGACTGAACCTAGAAATATTAGGCATAAACGAAATGCGCTGGCCTAATACGACTCTGTAAATGACACTCGAGATCATCTGTAACGTTTAAAACGTTACATTTTTATTCTTAATAATTTCAAAGTACTTTCCATTATTTTCTGCTCATACTATTTTCGTTGATTTTCCTATTACAAATAAATTCACTGATTAATTTCTTAAGTCCCCTCGTAGTTATACCTTCGCTTATTTTATCATTTAAGAAACAGAAACCCCACCACTAAATAATTTACTTCTATCAATCCGATCCGATTTAATTCCTTTTTAAAATAAACCAGCAAACGACAAGGGACTCAGAAGTAAATCTTCGTGGTCAGAAACTTCCAACGGTCTGGCCACGTTCACCTTGGTTATGATTAAAGAAAATTCACATTGACCTTGGTTTTATGGTTATAAGAAAATCTACGTTGACCTTGATTTTGGTTGAAGAAAATCTAACTTGGTTTTGTTAAAGAAAATCCACCTTGTTTTTGGAATAAGAAAATCCATCTTGGTTTTGAGAAGCCACATGGTTTTGGCTTAGAGGCATGGTTTTTGTAAATAGTTTATGGTTCGAGTTGAGAAGAGAGCAACAGGAAGATTTCTCATAGAGTTAAGCTAAGTTCTTTCTTTCTTTCTTTATAAAATTAATAAAGATATGTGTTGAACAATTATTTTATTAATAATTCCCGATTTCTCAAATTAAATTAGTTTATGCCGAACAAAACCCCTGAGGGGTTTCAAGGTGCAATGGATGAGCTAGCCGTTACGTATATGGAGTTGGAACAGTTATCTCTAGGATAAGCCAAGCAGTCATTGTACGTTTTGTTCCCTTTTCAGATGGAATGATATTATTCCAATACAGGGTAAGCCAGTGAACATTAATGTAGTACAATTGTATGCCTAAACTGCAGATAAATCAGAAGCTGATATAGAACTTTTTTATAAACAACTCAAACAATTTCTACAATACACAAAAAAGGAAGAAATTAATATATTTCATTAGTGGAGACGGCACTAAAAGAAGAAGAAGTGTAATTTAGTTTGCAACAAATAACGTTTCATAAAATTTTTTGTAGGGTTGCTAATTTACTAGATAGAGTGCCAAAATCCTATTTCCTCTTTTTTCCAAGATTGTGGCCGGGGGACAAGGGTTGCGCCGTTACAAACTTAAAATTAAGCTTATTGTAACCACTCCCACACACAAAAAATATAGAATTGCGTCCTCTCAAAAACATAATCTTAATGTAACTTTACAATTAACTATGTCATATACCCAACATGCTAAAATGTTTAATAATGAATGTAAAGTTTCTAAAAATAGGAAATATTTATAAATACTTCCGGTTCTTGATCATTTTTTATGATACAACCACTTTTATTTATATATCACTATAATACCTTTATGAGAAATTATCTCAGTCGAATTGACTTTATTTGTTACAATTATCAATATAAATACATTACCGAGTCTTTGACCTTTATGCACTGATAACTAGTCAAACAATAACATAATGAGAAAAATTAACTAGTCCATTATAGCGGAGGCAGAAATGATGTCACTTTACTGAAAACTACAGCGTTGAGATAATGAAGATAATGTTATTATTAAATAATAAGTAATCGGTTAAGCTAAAGATCTTTAAACAGTGTGATCTATTTTTAGGAATAGCGAAAACAAGCGATACGTAAGAGTTAATTAGGCAGTAGATTGTATTTAATCCAAATTGGTACAAATTCGTTCATTTAAAATTTTTTAAATACACACACATATATATATATATATATATATATATATATATATATAAAAGATTAAATCTTTTAGCGAAAGCCGCTATCGCTTTATTAAATTAAATGCAATGAAATGCAAATATATGGCCTAGGATGACAAATTTGAACTTTCCGTGCTCGAATCGGTATCAAGAAAGTGTTAGAATCATTTCGGCATATCCCAGCCTCATCAGACACTTAGGCTTATACAAATTTAAACTCGGAAAGTTCAACGAA